TGTTATCCCTTCCTCCCTCTCCCCACCTTTCTTCCCATGCCCTAAGGAAGTCAACGCTCCCCTTACTATTTCCAAGGGGATAATCTATCTTGAATTTTGTGCATCAAAAGATCTTGGCTGTATCCATGTACATACACAGGACTAGGAAGAATTAGTGAGGTAAAACTAGGGCCATAATAGTGGGAGGAGGACATTTTTTTTTAATTTTAAGAATAATTTTATTGGGGGTTCATACGACTCTTATCACAATCCATCCATCCATCCATCCATTGTGTCAAGCATACTTGTACATTTTTTGCCATCATCCTCAAAACATTTGCTTTCTACTTGAGCACTTGGTATCAGCTTCTCATGTTCCCCTCCCTGCCCGCCTCCCTCCCTCACACTTGATAATTTATAAATTATTATTTTGTCATATCTTACACTGTCTGATGTCTCCCTTCACCCACTTTTCTGTAGTCCATCCCACAGGGAGGGGGGTATATGTAGATCCTTGTAATCAGTTCCCCATTTCCACCCCACCTTCTCTCAATCCTCCCCGTATCGCCACTCCCACCACTGATCCTGAAGTGATCATCTGTCCTGGATTCCCTGTGCTTCCAGTTCCTATCTGTACCAGTGTACATCCTCTGGTCTAGCCAGAGTTGTAAGGTAGAATTGGGATCATGATTGGGGATGGGGGAGGGAAGCATTTAGGAACCAGAGGACAGTTGTGTGTTTCATCGTTGCTACACTGCACCCTGACTGGCTCATCTCCCCGTGACCTTTCTGTAAGGTGATGTCCAGAAATTTAAGGAACTAGAGCATAGTTGTGTGTTTTATCACACAACTATACTGCACCCTAGGTACATCATCCTTTCTGTGAGGGACTTTCCAATTGTTTTACAGGTCTTCGCCTATCCTATGTTCCTTCGTGTCAGTTTGGTTGCTCGTTTTTGAAATTCTGATATCTTTTCTTGTGAACACCTCATGATAACACAGGCTGTGGTGCTTCTTCCTTGCAGGCTTTCTTACTTTCGTGCTAGATGGCCGCTTGTTTGGGGTCAAGCCTTTAAGTCCTCGGATGCCCATATCTTTTAATAGCTGGGCACCATAGCTTTCTTCACTACATTTGCTTATACACCCATTTTGTTTTCAGCAATCCTACATTGCCACATTATTAGATCAAACCGTTCTTGTACTGAGGTAGAATTTAAGTTGAGGCCCAAAGTCCTTCTGCTTTCCTAATATGCTTACATATATAGATATACATTCCTAGATAAATATACCTATCTTTATATATTTATATTTTGTCTAATTACATACCTATATTAAACAGCTTTATTATCTCAAAGAAATTTTACTCCTTAATGATCAACAAAACCAAATCTCCACCGCACTTCAATCCCTGAAAACCATTATTTTATATTTGTACTCCTCTGATATTACCAATTCTGGATATTTTATATAAATAAATTCATATGTATAAATAAATTCAAACAGTATATTGTCCCATTGTCCCATTTGTGTCTGGATTCTTTCAGTAACCCAAATGTTTCCAAGGCTTATTCATGTTATAAAATATTTCAGTACTTAAATTTTTGAATGTCTAGTATTATTCCACTATAAGGATATATCACATTTTACTTATACATTCATCAACTGATGATGTTTTCAATTCTACTTACTATTTTTAATAATTTTATTTCTTTAAAAATTTTTATTTTGCTATTGTTTAAAATATAAACACAAAACATACACCCAGTCCATCATTTCAACATGCAGCATTTAATAAAATGGAGTACATTATTTGAGTGAAGCATTCTTATCCTCATTTTCTGAGACGCTCTCACTCACTAGCAAAATGCGGGGTCCTCTAAAGTTCCGATCATTGAGGTTCTGTTGTTAATTTATTCCCATATAGCTCTTAAAAAAGAATATACTTAAGAGAGGCATTTTATTCAAGGTAGGTTAACCAATTGTTTGGTTTGAAGGAGACTTCAGGAGATACATTTAGTTTCAGGCTTGCAGGGTTTAGAAGGGGAACAGAGTTAGGGATTCATCCATTCTCCATGGCTCTAGGAAGTCTGTAGTCTGTTTCAAAGCTATCAGGGTGTAGGATCAATAGAAAATTAGTGGTTATACATTGGACTGCTGTCCTCATGATCGGCAGTTGCAAACCACCAGCAGCTTCCCGAGAGAAAGATTTTACTCCTGTAACTGTTTCTAGTCTTGTAAACCCACGGGGCGGTGGGGGGGCTGGGGGGGGGGGATCAGCATTGAGTTGATGTCAGTGAACTTGGTTTGTTTTTGTTTTTGTGGAAAGTGAGGACAAATACACTCAATTTATGATTTAGTCAGTTCATAGATAATGCCATCAGGCAGACAACTTCAAAATTTCCTTGTTTTTTATCTCCAATTATTGGTATTTGTTTGTTTATATCATGGATTGGCTATATATCAGATACTCAGAAAGTGCCTCATTTTAGGCAATATTTATTTGAATAGAGAGATGTAATTTTTCCATTACTTAATTTTCAAACATAGATTGCAGGAGAATATTTTTCTCTTACAAAAAGCCAGATCTATTGTTTATTTTTCCTTTAACAATTACCTCTTGATCTGTTGGCTAAAGTGAAAATAAATCACATATGTGTACAATGGAAAAAAATGTTGCTTATGGCTTTCTGAGACTAGTGGTTAGATTCACAATCTTCACAGAGATGACTTAAAGACCACAGAAACTTTATTTAATAAGAAAGACTGCTATTGACACATTAATAATTAACAAAACATTTTGCCTTAATGAGTAAATCCTATTTTTACTCATTTTTTACCCATCATCACAGCTTTTAATAGTATTTAATATTCTATAAAAGGCCAAACATTTATGAAAGACACCGCTATTCCTATGAAACTCCACAGAATGTCATCTGAATGAGCATTTCCTGCCCTTAGCTTTGCTCATGTCCAACTTTTCCTTTACTCCCCATAGTGTTGTATTATTTTTTATATTAATGCTAGTCTTTCTAGCTTTGCTTCCCAAATAGCAATGACTAGATCTATCAAAAGTATGATAGCAATTAATTTGGCTCCTATAAAATTCTAAAATGATCTATTATCCAAATGATCTGATATCCAATATAAAATATTTTTATATTTTACTACAAAACAATTGCACACATTGCATGACTAAATACTTTGGAAATAGTAACCAAATAAATGTTAATGTATAAGAAGTCATGGAAAAACAATTCATTTAAATTACTTTGAAAATGGTAGATGTAGCTTGCTCTTGTGACCAAACTGGTTTTTCTCTCCATCTTGTCTTTTCTTCAATATATTTTCCATGTGTTTCAAACTTAAGATCTCAATTGCTCCGTGTTTAAAAATAATTATGCTAACTAGTTTCCCTTACTTTATTCTTTGTTTTGTGGTAAAAGTGGGTGAATATTAACACATGGGCTGATTTTAATCCTTTAAAGTAATTTTAATATTCCAAAATATCTTTCAATGACATTATGATTATTAATAAGTTATTACCAATGTTGTTTGTTGACATCTGTGCTATCAACTGACCAACTCAAATAATCCTAGCCAACTGGATCTCACAGAGGTATAGAATATATTCCAAGTATTAAATCCATAAGAGATCTAGGTTTGTTAAAATTGAACATAATTCTGTTGGTGATGATGAGAAGTTAACTAATAAGTAATTACTGAAAGAAACTCTAGCAGACTGAAGTTGTGAGAGCAATGCAAAAAAAGGATAATACAGATATTAATAAAGGTAAAGGTATTATGTAGAACTTTTATTATAATCTGTTATATACCTTCTTCCAAAGCTTTCTCATGGAGATATCAGTTCCCATTATTTCAGTTCCCAGTATTTAGTACTCATCTAAGTGTGTGGATTAACATAAGAAGAGAATTTACACATGTGCATAATATTCTTATTTCTCTTTGTACCCAGAGCTTCACGGTTCTACCTAGAGTTCTGCAAGTTGCTCAAGCAAATTGCTCAAAAACCATGGACGTACGTATTACCAAGCAAGATGTTTCTTTCCAATGATACCAATTTCCACCCTTCATTTTTCATACTGCTGGGGGTTCCAGGACTCGAAACTCTTCATATCTGGATTGGGTTTCCCTTTTTTGCTGTATATCTGATTGCACTATTAGGGAACGTCACGATTCTGTTTGTGATCAAAACTGAGAGCAGCCTGCACCAACCCATGTTCTACTTCCTGGCCATGTTAGCCACCATTGACTTGGGTCTCTCCACAGCTACCATCCCTAAGATGCTTGGTATCTTCTGGTTCAACCTTAGAGAGATAGTGTTTGATGCCTGCCTCACCCAGATGTTTTTCATCCACAACTTCACAGGCATGGAGTCAGCAGTCCTCTTGGCAATGGCTTATGACCGCTATGTGGCCATCTGCAACCCACTGCGATATAGCACCATCCTCACCAACAAGGTGGTTTCTCTAATTGGTCTTGGTGTATTAATGAGATCATTTATTTCTGTTATCCCATTTGTATTTCTCATACTGCGATTGCCCTTCTGTGGAAACCATATTATTCCCCACACCTATTGCGAACACATGGGTCTTGCTCGCTTGTCTTGTGCCAGTATCAAGGTCAATATTATCTATGGCTTAGGTGCTATTTCTATACTTGTATTTGACATTATAGCCATTGCTATTTCTTATATCCAGATATTACGTGCTGTTTTCCGTCTGCCTTCTCGTGAAGCCCGGCTCAAGTCTCTCAGCACATGTGGTTCACATGTTTGTGTAATTCTTGCTTTCTACACCCCAGCCCTCTTTTCCTTTATGACACATCGTTTTGGCAGAAATGTTCCCCGTTATATCCACATACTTCTGGCCAATCTCTACGTCATAGTGCCACCGATGCTCAACCCTGTGATCTATGGTGTCAGAACCAAGCAGATCTATGACCGTGTGAAGAAAATATTATTACAAAAATAAAGCGTGGAAAATGAATAAAACCAAATACTATGAGATTAATCTTTTGGGACAATAAATACCTTGTCATATGGATTAGGTTTAATTTTGCTTAACAGAAAATGTTATTGATGTTAGCTCTCTTCTGTAAGTAGTTCAGTGGCTATAGGGTCACTATGAGTAGAAATCTGCTCATAGCCAATGTTTTGTTTTGCCTTATTTTATTTATTCATTTTTGAGAGTGAAAGCATAAGGTTGAGAGTACAATTTGATGGTAAATGCCCAACAAAGGCCTTACAAACTCAATTTATTCATTGAAGTTTTCAGACTTAAAGTTTAAGATAGAACCTGACATATTCGTTTATGTCCCGGTCACTTTCTCTCATTCCCCAGGGAGCTTGAGCATTTTCTTCTCTCCCTCTTTATAGTCGTGCCCTCTCTATTTCTCCCTCCTGACCACACCCTGGCATTTGGCGTTTCCCCTCTTTCTAACTTCAGTGTTTCAAGCTCTCTTTACATATAGTTTCCATATGTTAATTTAAATTTTAAAATATTGTTAATAAGGTTTGTACCTGCACAGGTTGATTCCAAACAAAACATTTAAGCATGTCTCCACCCCTCGGTCTGTATGCCCTGGTGGGGAGGGAATTTAAAAGCTGGGTTGCTAAATACAAAGTCAGTAGTTCAAACCCTCTAGCTTTTCCTTGTCGGAAAGATGAGGATCTCTGCTCCCATTTAAAGTTGCAGCTCAGGAAGCCAGAGGGGCAGTTCCGCTCTATGCTACTGGGTCACTGTGATTCGGCATCAACTGAAGGGACGTGATTTGACTACTCTGTCTTTAACATTAAACATTTAAACTGGGAATTGTGTACATGATTTACTCTTCACTTCTCATCTGAAATATGAAGAAAACTATCATCATGATCCTACATTATTTCCAGCTCGTATCATCTTAATCTGAATTGTACATTCCTCTTGTTAACTTCCCGTATCCCATAAATGATGTCACTGTACGATGACTGCATCGCTAAAGATTATTTACCATTATACATTGATATCCATGTGGTTAATTTTCACCTATTGTCTTTCCTATTCTTCCACTTATCTCCTTCATAAGAATAAGGAACAGAGCATCTGAACAAACCATCTTTACCCAACATGTTGAGTTTCTATATGCCTTTTCTCGAATGTATTCAAACACATCATCTGAGCTTCAGAAATGAAATACAGGTGTCTGTATTGTACAACCCTGAGAAATATCCCAAGGTCAGCAAGGACCTTGACTGAAATGGGTTTATAACATAAAAGAGACTTCCCTCAGGAATCTGCTGGTACCCTAGAGACAGAGACTGGTTCTCTCCCTCTAAAAGTACCTGGACCCTCTGAGATCTTGCTGTTCACATCATCCATTCAGTCTCTGTTCAATACATTTTCAGGAACCAGGAAATTGAAAAATAAGAAGCAATACAAGGATGAGCCCAAAACAAGCAAAACAAAGAACAGTAAATATCTTCCACGATCAATAAAAAGTTTTCATAAGTCCTATACTAAACTTTCACAAATATTTGATGGTCGTTTGAATATGAAATGACCTTGCTTAAATATGTCATTAACTTTAGACATTTTACAAAGTAGAAAAGCTTGTAAGACCCCATTAAAGAAACTATTATTCACTAGAGGGAGAAAGATGAGGCTTTCTCCTCCCACACACAGTTCCAGCCTCAGAAACCCTCAGGGGCCAGTTCTACCCTCTACTACAGGATGGTTGTTATTAATTGGTAGCAATTTGATAGCAGCAAGGTTTGGTTGGTTTTTTTTTAATTTAACTTATTTTATTTTGTTATTACTCATTCACTTATTCAATAAATATATATGTGTCAATAGCTGTGAGTAGGAGATTCTTCTACTTATGCTATAAATCACAAATTAAAATGCTAAGACCTTTGTCCAAATGACGCATAAATGCTTAAATTCTGTTTTGTCAGTTACAGTCTGAAATGCATGTTGGGGTTTTCTGGCATCTCCAGCAAGTAATCTCAACTCAGATGTAGAGGCCATGGAGAATCTCTGTGAGATTAGCGACTTGGGATGCTGCAGATGTTACAGAGCACTGAGCAATGAGAATTCTAAGATAAGAAGAAAGTTGAATTAGGTTCTGAGAATCTCTAAAACTCAAGCGGATATAGGGAAGATGTTTGAACTGAAACTGGCAGTAAACATCAAGGAGGATCATGACTACTATGACCTGAAGTTCATGGTCTAGCAAGTGGAACAGAACCTTGAGCTGTCAGGGAAGCCATCCCCTAGCAAATCATCATAGGCCCAGCAGGCACAATTGCACAGCAATAAGTAAAAATTATAGTAATGTTATAGAGAATAAGAGAGATTGAAATAATGGAGTCAGACACATTTCATGGTAGCATGCTCACCTCAGCACCTCTTGGTGGTACAGGGCAGGAGAGAGATGGTGAGGGAGCATGGAAGGAGGACAGGGGGAGAGGGGACAGGGGGCAAGGGGAGTTAGGGCCAGGAGAGGGAGGACAGTGGGGGTGGGAGCGATGGGGGGAGAGAGCTCTTTATTTCTAACCAAGGCTTATATATCTTTGGGGGGCATGCAAGCCCCTTAATTACATGTAAAGACATATGTCACAGGAAGGGGTTTTACTATAGTTAATACAGTAATGAGAGGAGGAAAATCTAGGAGTATACATGCAATAGGAAGAGGAGGGATTGGGGGTACACATGTAACAATATGGGCGGATCTAAATTCAGGATGGCAGCCTAACTTTGGATATCAATGAGCAGGTTTGACCACTTCTCTGGCTCTCCATAGAAATAATTACTATCCTTATCAGTAGGGTGTGAGCCCCACCTACAGTGGACCAGGCAGTAGTCTGACGGATGAAAGCCTTCTGCGAGAATATCTCTAAGCATTTGACCTCCCACCATGTGCTGGAAAACAGCCCCTAATGTTTGGCAAATCTTTGGGGGAGACAGAGCTGGGGAAAAGTCTTTTTGTATCCCACATTGAGCTGCTGACCAGATAGGCTACAAGGAAAGCAAATCATATTCTGAAGCTGAAGGAAAAATTCAGTTTGCCCCAGTAGCACATCTCCAACTTCATGCATGAGAAAATAAGCCTGTAATGCCACCAGGGTGCCTGCCGTACAGTGGTCAAATAGAACACCAATGTAGCTTTGCAGTCTCAGTTCATGAAACATTGGCCTGTCCTCCAGTGTCCTTTTAAATTTGGCATCTGTCTTACTACATTGTTTTCATATTTCTGATGTCATTATATTAAAACATTTATTAAAATGTTTCATTATACCAAGAACAATCTAGTAATAAGATGGGAAAAACCATAAAAATAATGATTTTCTGTATAGTCAGAAAAATATGGTTATTCCAATCAAGTAATGTAATATTGCTCCCTATCTATGTAAGATTTCTTTAAATTTTATTGCTAAAGATTTGTAGTTCATTTTGTATTTAAAATGGTGGGAAAGTTTCGCATGAAATAAGTATTTCATGCCTTGTTTTCTCTTATAACCTGATATTAGAATTCTTAGTTTTCATTATATACTACTAAAGTAGATTTGAGTCCCTTCTGTCTTCCACAACACACATAGTCCAGTCCTGGCCCCATCCCCACAATGGTAAACACACTAATAACTAGAATGCACTCATCTGCCACCAACTGTGCATTGTTTTCCTTGACATACTGTATCCTTTTTGAAGTTGGATGCATCAGAAAATCCTCACTACCATTTTGATCACATCCTAATGGTCTTTCTCATCTGGATAATATGTCTTTTTCTTTCCCTTGTCTCATTTGAGACTTTAAGAAGTGTTCTCTGTTTAGAAAAATAAAGAAATTACCATTAAGAAATCTCTGCAAAACTTTTGTCCATATAAAGATTTGTGCTTCCATATTCAGTGTCCATGTGGTCTATCCATATAAGACAAGACTACTTAAAATACAAATTAATTACTATTGATACAACAGCATGGAGGATTTTAAATTTCTTATAAGTGAAGAAAGCCAAAAGCCAAAGCATACTCTATGATTGAATTTGTTTGGAATTTAGAAGGTGTAAAACAAGAGTACTAGCCAATGGTAGTTTCCTGGTCCAGAGACTAGGGAGATAAAATTGATTACAAGGAAGTAGGATAAAAGAAAAATATTATGAGATAATGAAAATGTTGTATATATTGATTTTGCTCGGAGTTACATGATGATGGATATTTATTAAAACTCATATAATAGTACTGCTAACATTGGTAACTTCCATTATATGTAAGTTATAATCTCAATTTAACAAAATGAAAAATAATACAGTAAATTACATTTGATTTTACTTTTGGAACTTCTATTCTGCCACCTTGCTAAATTTATTCATTAGTGTCTCAAATTGGGTTCTCTAGAAACCAGAAATGGTGAAATATAGAGAGAGGGCTATAATAGCTATAGATTCCAAAAGTTCATTGAAACATGGATTTACAAGAGAAAGGATTTTCACATGAATTTTTGGAGACCCTTCATTACCTCATACATATGACAAAATAATAGATAATTTACTTCTAGGAAATATCTAGTTGTGAAGGTGAACAAATTCTAATGTATGGGTCAGGCCGGAGCTGGATATTTATTCTGACTTATGTGGTTGTAGGAGCTGATGGAACAAGATCTAGCATTTAACATGTTATATGACTGAATGCTGGCTGTGTTAGACAGGGTTCTCTAGACAAACAAAACCAGAACACTTATGATTTGTATATGTATATGATGTATATATATCTATATCTAACATATGATGTGATATATATAGTAACATGGTACACGGGTTAGGCGTCCCAAAGGTAGTGTAGCTTCCAAATTGAGGCAGAGAACTAGCTAAGGAACCTGCATACATAATCAGAGAGCAAGAGTCTGAAAGGCAAGGCTTGCTGGGCCATTTATCTCTTTGCCCTTCAATTAAACTGCAAGCTTATTAATCCCACATGTGTTTATGGGCCAGGTTGGC